ATAAACGATTACAGATTGTGGTGATCAATTCCTGGGAGACCTCTGCGAATGCGCAAATCACGTGCTTGAGAATTTGGTCCCAAAAAAGTTCATGGGAAATCATCTCACAGGGAACACGTTGAAGCAATACGTTGAGGTTGGCGAGGCTTCTATTTTACAGAATAGCTTAAAGCTTGATTATCTACTAGCTTTTTTAGAACCTCGTTGATCACATCAAAGAGAACAATCACAAGGCAATCGGATCAGCTTTCCAGGTCAGTTTCTTTATCTCTGATCCGCTACAAGTCATCAGTTAGGTTTTATGCCATTATCATAGTCAATTCAAATCATCTATAGGCTACTTCCGAGCTCTTCTTCGAAAAAGCCAAAGCAGCCGCAGCTGAGTACTTCGCCGCAGCACACGATCAGGTAACTTCAAGCTTTTTCAGGCTTACGAACTTTTTCAACGCCACGATTCATGCCTTAAAACGTACGGTAATCTAAGCCCATTGATTGTCTTTACAGTAATCCTTATACTATCAAATATCTGATAGCTTGTCTAGCTGATGCGCGGGTCGGGGCATCAGCCGATAAATCCAAAAGTGTACGAGAAGACACTCAAGAAATTCGTCGATGAAGCACTTCAGGTAAAAAAAGCAGCATAAAAAAGAGAAAAATTTGATCTAAAGATTTAGAACAAGAATACAGCTGAAAACCAGAAATATATTCATTAATATTTTCAGGAATACAGTTCAAAACCACTCTTTGGGACTCAAGAAGCTAAAGGGAAAACTTTCTTGGCGTTGAAGGAGTCTTTAGAGGTGAGTGGAGTGGAATTGGTATTGGAATTTAGTAAAGAATTTTATTATCAGAGATTTTTCTAATATTATTGTCAGGTTTGGGAATAACACTATTGATTCTTAAAAAAACTTTGGGTTAATTTATTGGAACCTAGCCTTAAATCAAGTAAAGTAAAGCTGAGCTGATGCAAAACGTTATACATGAGATACAGGTTTAATGCTTTAAAACCATTAGCTGGATATTGATTAACTTGTATTAACTATTATTATATTATGTAAGTGGATAGTATCTCTGATTGTTAGCTTTTGTTTTAGGAAAAATGCCAAGAGAAGCTGCGTAGCAATCGGAGCCGTTTCCGCGACTTTTTGATGGCCGATGCGGTGCATCAAAGCTCAGAGTTGTACGAGAAAGGGATGAAGGTATGGAAATGAATTTGTCTTTTCTTGAAATTTAGTATTTTCCAAGCCTTGATATTCAGCCAGACTTCGGGGATTCCCTTCTCGGAAAAGCTACCGTCGAACAAGTGAAAGCTCGACACGAGAAAGCCTTTCCTGAAGCAATGTCACTTTTTGAGAATGGTTTGTTGTTCTTAGATTTATAGACTTAGATTCAAGCCTTAAATTGAAGATTCATTGCTTTAGATTTAAGATTTAGATTTAGAGTTAAAGATTTAAGTGTACTTTTTCTTAAAAAATATAGAAACACCACCAATCTGGCGCTCTTTTTTCTTCTTATCGAAATAACTTGCTTTAAGAAAGGATCAGTGCACCAGAAAGGCTGTGTTTACAGATGTAAGCACAAAGTACACATCTGATTTCCAATTATAGCAGCTTTTGGTGTTAAAGCATTGAAAATTGACCAAATTGAGGACTACTTTGTAGTGGAAACACACCCTTTCTAACTCACCAACTTGGCACTTGAAAATTGCCAATTTTAGTGCACCAGATAGGGTGTGTTTGCAGATTTGATCACAAAGTACATCTTTAGTATCTTGTTCTAACAATTATCCGGTTTTTTCAGCTGTTGCGCCTTTCAACGATGAGGTGGATTTAATCGATTCTAAGAGAAATCTTCTCACTAAGATGCTTTTGGTTGGTTTAGAATTTGATACAGAAATCTTAGAACTTGTAAATGTTTACTGGTGATCGTACTTTTAAACTGATTTCAAGTCATGAATTCAGACTCGTTTCGAGGATCTCCAAAGTGACAACCTCGTCGTTCAACTCAACACATCTTTGGATTCAATGATCAACGCGCATGCAGACAACTACGAAAAACATTTGAAAGAGGTAGCTAGCTTTTTTGCTTTTGTAAACGCACACCTTCTGGCAACCTAATTCACCCAATTTCAGCAAGTTCCATTGGTCAAGAAATTAGACGATATCGGAATGTTTATCGAACGCGGGATAAACGCTTTGAATACAAGTTTTGAAGCAAACAAGGTAAATTGCAGGAGTTGGCAGCCTTGCTGACTTTCCTCCTGACATTGTCTGGACTTCAGTTACCTTTTAGATCAGTCAAAGCTTGGCTAGAGCCTGAGATTCCAGTAGTAAAGCTGGTCTTGAATTAGGGTAGGCAAGATCAAAGTTTTTGGAGAATTCGAAAGAAATCTAGTCAAGCCAGGCCAGGTCAAATCATCACCAGATATCACAACACACTAAAAATGCTTTTAACTTTCTTCAAATTCGCCTGATTAATACGATCTATAGCTCAAAAAATAGAGAATCGCAAGAGCTTTCGAATGGACTAAATAGACGCAAAAACCTCAATGCTAAAGAAATTTACAATGGTTTGAAGTTAAAATGAACCGTACTCAAGCGTAGTCAAGCTACTAACCATAACTTTCTTTAGCATTCATCTTTGTGAGAATGCTTTAGTTCATTCGAAAGCTCTTGAAATTTTCTATTTTTTTGACCTATAGATCGTATCAATCAGGCAAATTTGAAGAAAGTTAGAAGCGTTTTTAGTTTACGTTTGTAGTTGCCGGCAGATTTTGTGGCTAGGGTTGTAGCTTGTAGTGCTCATGTCTAGCCTATAACTAGATTATTGCATTTCAGGCTCAATTCATCATCGACATTTCCCAACTAATGCCGAAACTTGATTTGAACATGCTCCGTCAAATGATTGACAACTACAAGGACGCGAAGGGAGCGCTGTTTAAGGTAAAGATTAAATGTAAAGTGTTAAATATCAGTTTTAGCGATGCGAAGATCACTTTGAGTCCGCGGTTCGTGCGCATTTCAGCATGGAAAAGCTGAGAAACAAGATGATCGATATGAGACATCGACAAAACGAAGCACAGAAAAAATTGCAAGCGCAACAGGGGAGAATCCAAGAACAACTCACCGATACACAGCAACAATTGGGTGGGCATTTCGACGAAAACTTGGTGGTACAGTAGACAGAGAAATGAGTATGGTAGACTAGGTCACTCTTTAGAATGTCCTACTGTAGTCAGTGCATCTTTCAGAATGCCCTACTGTAGTCAGTGCTCCTTCTAGCATGCACTATAGGTCATAAAATTCTTCTACAGTACCGTAATGTGTTAAATTTGATTAGAAGTTTTCTTTCAGATGAAGAAAAACGCAAACGAGAAGCAGCTGAGAAGAGCAGCGATTTGAATCCAATAGTCTTGCTGTTGAAACAAATGAATGAACAGACGCAGCAGTACGTGATTTTCAAAAAATTCAATTAAAACTTGATTTAAACAAATGAAACGCTTTTATTAAACGCTTTCAGACAACTTGAAAACGCGCGTGAAGAGCGGCAACGAAAAGAAATGAGAGAAGCACAAGAAGAGACGAATCGACTCGAGAGAGAATGGAATGAGGCGAGGATGCGGATGGAGGTGAGAATCTGGATTAACAATAATAAGAAAAAGCATTTATATGCAAATTTGCATCAATAAATTGAATGTAATTGTAGCAACAAAGAGCTGACAACAAGAAAGAAGAAAGAAACCGAAAAGAGGATCGAAAGGAACGAGACGCCGAGAGGGTAGAGTCTTTAAAATCCTTTAAGTCTTTGCTTTAAACCGCTCTTTCCTAGCGGGGAAAAGGAATACTGGTGGTTTAATGGAAAACGCATTCGGTTCCCGGTCACAAGATCTGGGTTCGGCTCCCGTTAGATCTTTTCGTTTTTGTTTTTCTTCTAGCAACTTCTAGGATTTTCCTTGAGGAAAGTCATTTGGCAGATTTTGATTTCAGATTCGAATTTCTCATATTCGATTCTATAAATTGCATAATGAACTAATGAACTTATAGAATGATTCATTCTATAAGTTCATTAGCATTTCATTTCCAATCACTTTCAGGATCGCAAAGAAGAGAAAGATCGCAACGAACAGTTAAGAAAACAACAAGAAAAAGCTGATGCTGAAAAAAAAGCAAAAGACGAAAGAGAAAGAGCTGAAAGAGAAAAAGGGTTGATTCGAAGAATTTGGAAATGGGCTTTTTAAAGAAATTTTCTTCAGAAGTTGAGCTGTGCCTTTACTTTTACAATGTTTTGGCTTGGTTTTTATTAAAGCTACTTTTTGCTGTAATTGTAAACTTGCCAGCTGATCTAGGATCACGATTGTGAGCATAGCTTTTTCTTTATTTCATTTCGTATTGTTACCGGTACCTTTTTTGGTGACTTTGAAATATAATCACTAACTATTCTTACTAAAAATCTAGAAACATTTAAAACGATCGATTTGGCACTTCTTTTCTTCTCTGGCAAGGAAAAAAGGCTTGGCTTTTGACTTGATTTTTAACTTGGCTTTTGAGTTGGCTTTTGAGTTGGCTTTTGAGTTGGCTTTTGAGTTGGCTTTTGACTTGGCTTTTGACTTGATTTTTAACTTGGCTTTTGAGTTGGCTTTTGACTTGGCTTTTGACTTGGCTTAAAGCTTTTTTATTCCCTCTTTCTTTTCTTGCCGGATAGCTCAATGGTTAGAGCAATTGCCTGGAAAGTAAAAGATCGAAAGTTCAATCGCTCTCCACAAATCTTTCTTTGCATTTCTTACTTCAATATCGAAATACATTGCTGATAAACTTTGCTTCTCTAAAACTGTACACTTTATTACAAAATTTGATTACAGAGTCAAAATTTAATTCGAAAATTTATTGATGAAAAACGATGTGCCGACTGTCGGACTGCCGCCTTTCACCGAGTTCCTTTTCTTTTTTGGTTGTTTCCATTCGTGATTGATCATTTTATTCGGTCTTGTCTCAATCACTTCATCGATCCTCTTGCAAGTGCTTCGCCAGTTTTCCAATGAACCTTTTGACTAAACACAACAACATCTCCTCGTGCACTCAGTTCTACTTTGAACCCAAGGAACGTGCGAGGTAAGTAATCTTTAAACTTGACTCAGACCCAGATTTGACATTGCCTTGTGCCTTGTGCTCAAAAATGTAAACACATCCCTTTCGGCGCACTGAATTCTCCATTTTTCTCGTGGCAACAGCCTGCTTTCGAGAGAAAAATGGTGCATTCAGTGCACCAGAAAGTTGCGTTTACGTTTTTGGGCACTCCAAGGAACAAGCTAGGAACACTACAGGAAGTAACTCTACAGGAAGTAACACTACAGGAAGTAACTCTACAGGAAGTAACTTTACAGTCGGCTAGTAAAGTATTTAGGTAACCAGTAAAGGTGTACTTTGTGTCCATTGGAAACAAGCGTTTCCTGGTGCAGTGAATTCTTCTTTTTCTCATGACAACGATTGATATCAAGAGCTAAATAAAGAATTTAGTGCACCAGAAAGAGTGTATTTAAACTTGTTAAGCTCAAAGTTTAAAATTTTGGCAGGCTAGACTGTGATTCTATTGATTCAGCGTTTTCCGAGGTGCACTTGTCCAAATCTGAAGCTACAGGTAAGCATAAGACCCCACTCTGTCGAAATGGGATACTTGTCGGTGTGGCTCATTGGTAAAGCGTTCATTCGGTAAGCGCGTCCGGTAAGCGCGCGTCCGGTAAGCGAGAGGTCGCTGGTTCGAATCCCAGCGCCGACCAAATCAGCCTCAACTCATAAAAGGACCGGCGTTTTACCGTAATCCAGCTATCTCGTTAGATCAGTAAGCGTAAGGATTACGGTAAGTATCCCAGTTGAACACACTTTGTGTAGGACTGGGTCTCAGACTGGGACCCAGACTGGGACTGTGAGCCGCTGGGACTCGAACCCGCGATCTCTCGCTTTCCGATCGCTCTACCGCTGAGCTACGACCCGACTGGTCCACTGCCGCTAGAATGCCTTACTGCCTTACTGTTACTATCACCAATTGTGTTACTTCAAAACAAAAGCTAAGGAGTTTACTTTCCAAAACTTACCCAATAGCCTAAATGTTGCACTGGAATTGTGGAGGTGAGCGTTGACATATCTTTCACAAAATCTTCATCGAAATCCTTTTCCCACTCTTTCCAATTTCCTTTTTGAGAAAGATCATTGTTTTGAGCCTGGAAATGCAAAAATTGATTCGAATTTAATTCTGTTTGACAGTGCAATTCTAGATCTGTATTCTGTTTTCCCCAATTTTGTTCTCAAAAGCTCTCACCACATCACTCGAGTCGCTTCTCCCTCTTGCTTGTAACGAAAAGCCCTTTAATGCCCTCAGTTCAACTTTGAGTTCAGTCTGAAGTGTTTTTCTTTGTGCTTACGGTTTAATAAGATCACAATACTATATTATCATACCTCTAAACTGCCAATGTCAAGTGTCGCACCGAAAATCGATTTCAAATAATGAGCACTGTCTTGGATAAACTTCTGGCAAAACTTTGCCAACGTTTCTCCACTCAATTCTAATGACGCCAATTTCTTTGCGTAGTTCTTTATCGAAGTTTGGAGTAAACATTTGACTTTATTGCGATCAGCAGACCAAATCTGAAGCTTTTTGCGAGTCTAGATGAATAAAGTCCAAATCCGAAGTCTAGCTAACATTTGAACCACACCTTTGTCGAGAAATCTTTCTGAAATTTTGCCAAATCGTTCCTCAAAAGATTGTCGGCTTGAATTCCTAAAAACTCTTTACTTTTTAAATTTCTTTTGTAAAAGAAACCCGTAGCTGTTGACAACATCTCAAAGAGTTCCGAATCATCAAGCTCTTTTAGCTCCAGTTCCCCATTTTCAGATGAATGTGAGCAACAAGGTGATTGATCTGTTGCCGTTGTAGCCTCCATTTGTTTAGGCTGGAAATTGGTGTTTCATAGATGAAGTATTGGAGTCTTGATACTCTAACCGACCTTGACTAAGACTCCATGAAGTCAAGGTCAAGTCTGACACCGGTTCAAGGCTTGTAAATCAGCCGGGGACTTCTGGCAGGTTCAGTTATGGCCAGTCACAGCCAGTCACAGTCAGTTACGGCCAGTTACTATCAGTTACTACCAGTTACTGCCAGTTACGGCCAGTTACTGCCAGTTACAGTTACTATTACCAATCTGGCCAGGTACGGTAAGGCCAAAAGACCATAGGTCCAGACTTCGCTTAAGACTGATTTTTGAAAAGCTCAGGGATTTCAGCTAGGTTTAGGGAAGAAATTGAAATCTGCTCCAAGTAAGATTGCTTTCAGAACTGAAGATAGATTCCAGCAGAGCCTCGAGTCTAGCTACTTTACTTTCGTTTGACTTTTCAACTTTCTTTTCTTGCTCAAGTCAACTCTGACCTGTCCTAGGGTTCATCTTCATTTTTGAGCTGCTACAAATCATCAATCTTCAATCAATCCTTGTATTCTTCAACTCACCAAGTCTTTCACCGAGTGCTCAGAGAGATAAGCCAAAAATTCGTCACGCTCACTATCGGGCAAAGAAATTTGCAAAGCAAAGCAAACCTCCGTAAAAAAGAAAACATTTTCTTCGTAGAGAAAATCTGACTAAAATTTTGGTTTACTTATCAAATTTCTAAAACTTACAGCCGATTTTTTTAAAAATTCGATCCAAATCGTTTTCAGCTTTTTCTTTAACAGCTCTTCAAGCACTTCTTTAGTATCATATTTTGATAGATTGTTTAAAAAGAGGTGAAGTTGGACTTGTGAAATATCTAATAAAACGGGAAAAGCGTCTTGAGATAAAGTTGATTGTTGAAAGACCTAAAAAAAGATAATTTTGAAGAAGACTTATTCAAACTTCTTCAATCGATGAAAAAAGGCTTAGAGCATTGGCGGTGAGCAAGGATTTTTGATATTCACCTTCCTGAAAGTAAATCTTTTTTTAGAATCTCCTAAAAGTTATCGTAATCCATAACTCTGAACAAGTTACCGTCATCCTGGCTGAGTTTCCGTCTTGATCAAGCTACCGTACTCCTAGACAAATTGCCCATAACTCTGACCAAGTTACCGTCATCCTGGCTAAGTTTCCGTCTTGAGCAAGCTACCCTAATCCTAATCAAGTTAGAAACCCAGGTCAATCTACCGTAATCCCAAATAGATAATTCTGAAAATTCACCTCTCCCTTTCGAAGCGTCAAACATTTCCACTTCAGTCTCTTTCTCTCCGTCAACACAGTCTCATCGATTTTTTGACAAAGATAATCCTAAATCAAGACTATCCAACAAATTCCATAAGTAAAACCTTTTGTTTTTGAAAGCTTTCTGTGAAATTTCGATCAATAAGTGAACTCTGGAAATCTTCCAGAAGAGAATTCATAAAGTAGAAGAGATATTTCTCTGGGAACCCTCCCGCTTCACACCAATAGATGAATTCTTGAAGGAGATCGGTGGCCAGATTCGAGATTTCTTTTGCGTTGATATCCTTGAATAGCTTAAATATAAATTATCGTTAAGCCTTTGGAGTCTTTGTGGTGACTTTAGTAAGCGTATTAGCTTGATTTATTCCATTCACAACTACACAGCCTCGTTACAGGTTACTGTAGATCAAGTATTTAGTCAATGATCGTTCAAAGTCTTGAGTGAAACAAGTACCGTAATCCCTGGGAAGTTACCGTAATCCCGGAAGAGCTATCGTAATCCCGGGAGAGCTACCGTAATCCCGGACAAGTTACGTAACCCTATTCTTCTTAAAGCTTGGATCCTGAACCCATTGCTGTTTACTAGATTAAGATGGGTAAATTTGCTATCTCCAACTCCAACTCCAACTCCAAACCTCCAAAAGCCGCTCAAAAATCATTCTCTTTTCTTCGCGCATCGCAGAAATCTTTTGAAGCAGTACATCTTGAAATCATCGATTTCAACTGAAATCGAATTTTCAGAAACAAACTAAATGACTTACCCAAACTACAAGCTTTCATTTCATCGTCTTCAGATAGCAACAGATTACTGTAATTGGATACAATTTTAAAAAAATAATGCCAACTACCACAGAGATCCAGAGACATCCTTTGAAAGATCCATAGTTGACTTTTCATTGGACAAATTTTGATCCAAAACCGTTAACGAAGAATATTTGGTGAGAAAAGAAGTAGCAAAAGACAAAATTTCTTCAAATTCTTTGTCCATTTTGATTTGTTTTTGTTTCGAATCATCGTTTGTGACTTGTTTTTCAGAATTTGATAGAATTTTGATCGGTTTTGGCTTGATTCCAAATGAAAAACGATGTCTTCTTGGTCTTTTTCGATCTGTTTCGATCACGAAATGTCGATATGTTTTATCGTTTTTTGACTGAGCATTCGAACACTTCGTTTCCCGCATTTTCTTCTTTTGGAGATCAAGAATCTTCTGAAAACAGTGCAAAATTAATCGATTTCTAAAGAATTGAAAATTTTTTATTGTTTATGTTTAGATTAAAACATTTTTGACTCAACCTGCCAGTGATTACTATCAGGAAACAAGTCTGGTTCGGTAATCGACTTGAAAGTGCTTAAAAACATCCATCTGTGCTGTCTTTAAGAGAGATTATCGTTGATTAACCTTGCCTGGGCAGTTAGCAGTTGCCTTTTGAAAGTTAACATTTGATACTTCTACATCTTTACCCTGTCAAAAAGTTAATATGCAAATTAATTGGAACTAGGGCAGATCAAAAAGCGCTGCCGGCACTTGAACCCGCCACCTTACGCTTACCGATCAACTTCGCTAATTATTACGCCACAACGTACTTGGTCTCCCTTCCTCGAGAGGGAGTCAACTCTTTGACTTCTTACTTCATCATTGAATTTCAGCATATTTTACCCAAATTTTGATATTGTTTTGAATAGATTTAAGCTAGAATGAATGAGCCTGAGCCATTTATAATATTTTCCTATTTTTATCTATCAAAAGAAATTCTGGGGAGAATTTAGATCTATCCTGATTTTTTGGCAGGGAAATGATGCAAAAATACCTATTTTGGATTTGAACTGGCTTTGAAAATAGTCTTTATGAGTCGACTTCTATCAACAACGGCAGTTCCTAGATAGTGTAGTGGTTAGTGCCCGCGTCCGTCACGTGTAAGGCCCGGGTTCAACTCCCAGCCAGGAACTCGGTTCGATTCTTTTTTGGCTTTTATCAAGTTTTTAAAGTAAAGGTTGTTCAGATTAGTTTGCAATCCAATTTCATTGCATAAGTTAAGCTTTAAAGCTCCTAATCTTCATCCACAACTTTTCAAAGTTTATGGGATTTACATTTATTGTTTTAGATGGCGGAGTAATGAGGAAGTGCCTAGTATTTGATTCAGTGATGCTGAATATCTTAACTCAGCAAGCTTTTCAAAAAGTTAGAAAGAATAGGCAAAAGATAAGAAAACGGAAATTGCTTTTGCTTTTGCGAGAATATAAATGATAAAACTAGACTCACCGCAACCTTTTCCCCGATCCTTTTCCATTTCTCTTTCATCACCACTTCTCTCACCAAATCAATAGTTTCCAAACGAATACTTTCCCTTTTTTTCTTTAATAAATATTCTCTAGTAGGCTCCAGACTCTAAGAAATTTCCAAGAATTAGATTTTTCTTTTAATAAACCTTGAAAAACTCGTCCAGATCATAAAAATCAATATCCATTTGAGTAGTTTGTCAAGTAGAAGCTTTAGAAATTAGAATTAGAAAGCAAAGCAGCAAATTGTTGACAAAATTTGAGAGAGAACGGTCTCGTGTCACGTGGATTCTTATCAAAAAAGTGGTTCAATTTGCAACCAAAATCATGAAAACTTGAAAAAACCTTGCGCAAGAGTTGAAAACTTTGAATCGTTAAACTCTTGTTGATCCGCTTTTAATGGGAAACTTTTTTTTGATGGTAATTTTATTGAAATCAAAAACATCGAAAGCTTGAAGAAATCACTGTTGAAAGTTTAAACTATCAAAAAACTCAAGACTTTTAGTCAAATCTTGTCTTGTCAAATAGAATCGGAAGAACACCTTCGACTGGAGATCAATGCGGCGGCTATCGCTCTGAGGGTCAAGGGTTCAATTCCGTCTAGCGACAAAATTTTTGACTTTTTTTTTACAAAACCTTCAAAAATGAGTTTCTAAGGGTAATTTAATGCGCTGAGTACGAATAACGTGTTTTTAGCCTATGTCATCAAACAAAAAACGATCGAAACGCGATTTCGGCACTTTTTTGAGCATGACTGAGCTCACTAAAACGCCTGTATAAAGTTGAAAATTAAATGAATTCAAAAATTGTTTTGCCCATCTTATTCGTCTTGAATTCAGCTTACTAATGAGCTATTTATACGTTGGAATGGGTTGAGTTTGAGAACGTCTCCCAAAAGAAAACGGACAGGACTTATCCCGCAACCCAATATCTAGTACAGTAAAACCTCATTAGTAGAAAACTCTTTAGTAAATATAGTTATTTATTGAATATAATTATTTAGTAAATAGGTTTTCTAGCACCCTTTGACAAAAAAACAAATTGACATTCAATTAAACTTTAATAGTCAATAGATTTTTCGATCTCCCTTGAGTCATTTACTAACGAGGTTTGTATTGTATTTAGTAACCGATTTTTCGTGTATTCCCCTAGTTTACCTTGTGTTTGTAATACTCCTCCAAAACTGTGATCAAAGTCGAATGTTTTTCGTTTGGAACAGAGAGCTGCAACGTATCACACGCCTTTCGATAGTGATTTAAAAAATGTTTGTGCAAAACCGTGATTTGGCTAAATATGTAAGTTGAGATTTCGAAAAACTTTGAATCCACCAGCAGAGAAAT